TCATCATCGTGATCATCATCGTGGCTATCCTCAGCATTATCATCAGCGTTTTATCGTAATCGTTTCACCGGTTCCCGATGATCATAACGACGTCGTGGGTAACACCCGCGTTAGCGAGATCTCTCATCGAGCAAAATCCAACGACGCCGTGGCGGCGTCGGTGGTTACACCGTTCTCCGCGCGTCATTATGATCATCGCCGCCATTTCGCCGGCGACGTGGTCGCTCCAACGTCATCGTATTCACCGTAATTACACGATAATTATACATTACTTTCCCTCTCTCTCTCTCTCTCTCTCTCTCTCTTTCACTCATCGCGCGGATTCCTCAAGTTGTCTCTGTCTCTCTCGTTACATTCTCCTTTTCGCGCATTCTTACCTACTTTCTCGCCGATCATACCTGCCACGCACAGACACACACACACACACACACACATACATACACTCTCCCTCTCAACTTGCCCCCTATACATATAACCCGCTCGTTATATCTCGCTGCCGTTCATAAAATCTTTGTTTTAAGTTTCTTTACCCTCTAACATGATTATTACTTAGATACCTTACTGTTACTTCGTATACATTTTTAAGGCGATGATTCAATCGGGTAAACTCATTTAGAAAAACGAACAGCCAATAAACGTCGTCCGTTCGCCGCCGTCTCTTCACCTCTATCCCCTTTTTCCGTCGGACGCCAACGTCGTCGTCGTCGTCGACGCTGCGTCGACCCGCCGTTAATCGCTCGTGCGATCCCGTATTACTCGCTGACGCGGAGGTGGGGGTGGAAGGACGCGTCGCCGGGCATTTCCTACGAAAATATTGATCGTCGTTATACTACCACGCTAAGGTTCGCGTGGGCGACCCTGGGGGTTTCGGTTCGCCTTTCGGAGACCAGGTCTAAAAAGACGTAGCAGGTTCGCGGCGCGATTGTCCATCCCCCCCGCGGGTGAAGTTGCACCCCTCGTGACGAAACGCCGCGTGCGTCGCGAACACTCGCCCGGCGTCTTGCGGGTGAAAATAATTATTATTCAATTACCACCGATAACCTCGGGCTGTCGTTGATCAATTCGGTCGAGGATTTCTAAAATGATATATTAAAAAAAACGATGAGATCCAATCGATGCGACGGAGTTGCGCATCGTTTTCGATATTATTTGCCTTCGATCGTTTGTATTTCCGTTGGTTTTAAAAGCAGATTATGGTAGTTGAAATTTCTCTGTGAAACGCAACGACGATCCCGACGGGCGCGTCGTCGCGATCCGACCGACGGGAGCGTGCCTCAACAAAATTAAACAATATATTTCGTCAACAAATAGAATATTCGTAAAAAACTCGCCGCCCGTATACCCCGTCGGTGGACCGTCGACGACGACGCGCGGCAACGGTCTCGCGCGGCGTTTAGTGTGCGGTTGTGTCCCTCGTACATAACGTGTCCATGATTGTCTCGTACTTTTGGATAATCACTTCTCGTGAAATACGATTGTTCGTCGAGCCCGGGATACCGTCCGGAAGTGTTCGAGGCTGTTTCTCTCTCGCTCTGATTAAAATTCTCTAGGTGTGTCGCGTGGATCACGACGGTCTCTCTCCCTCTCTCGGTGGAGCGATAAAAACTCTCTCTGGGTCCCCTGTGGTTAAAAAGCTTTCACTAAAAATCAACACGAAAAAAAAAGAAAGAATAAAAACGACGGACAAACTCGATTGCCGTTAAAAGGGTTTAAAAAATCTGTCGATATCTCCTCGGGACGACTTCCGGCGGTTCGATTCCCTCGGCTGGGTTCTCTCGCGGCGTATACCATGTATCCTGGCGGTTTTTGGTCGTCGAGAAATTTCAACTGTAATCGTTCGATAAAAGAGAATTTCGTCGTCGTCGATCGGATCTCGTTTTAAATGACATTCACGGGGATCGCACGATCGCGATTCAGTGAAGAGGAGCTACGCACGCCCGCCGCGTTCGGTCGATCGTGTAAATCGACCGTACGACGCGTCTCAACGGGTGTTCTTTCGAGATTTCCTCCAATTAACCGGGACCTAACGCTGACTTCTCTCGCACCTGAGTCTTTCGGTATACGTGGGTTATCCTTTTCATTTTTTTTTTTTCATTCAGTATACTAGTACGCCGCAGCGCCGGCCTGAAAGAAATCGAAAAAGATATCGTTCCTCGTCGTCGTGGTACCGGGCGAAACGCATCCCTTCGAGCAATGTTCCTTCGTTCTGTTCGTACGTAAACACGATCGACGAGAAACGACGCTGTTCGATGTCTTTCCGATCGGCAGGACGCGCGACAAAGAGCAGTGTGTTTACATTTAAAAATTTTATACAAGATCTGCGTGTATGCGGGCGTATTGAAAATATCGATAAAATTTGTCTCGTATGCTGTCTCTCTCTTTCTTTCACTCTTTTTGCGTTTCTCTCAATCGTTCACTTTCTCGTAATCTATCTCTCTTACTCTCTCACTCTCTTTCTCACGATGTCTCCCCCGTGTCACGTTTACCCCTCCCCAACCCTCCCCCCTCCCCCGTTGTTTTTTGTCGGTCCGAACATGTGATAGTACGTAAATCGATGATCCATCGAGTCAGTCCAATCACGATCCGATCATCGAAAGAGATTTAAGTTCGAAATTTATTTTCCCACGTTCAACAGGGGTTTCCCTCGCGCCGTTAAATCGTCGTCAAGCCACTAATAGACGTTTCGTTTAATTAAATTTTATCTTTCTCTCGTTCGTTCTGTCGTTCCCCTCGCCAGCCTCTTTGTCTGTTAAACATGCCCTGCTATCGTCACGAAGGAGCTCGCGAGAATACGTGGATGGTATCGTCTCTTTCTTTTCTGTCTTCGTTGCTTCCCTCTGATTTCCCTCAATGAAAAAATACTAAAAATCTTGTAAACCCTTGAAACTATGATATTCTACGAGAAGTGTAATGTACAATGAATGAAAACGGAAGTGGAGCTTCGGTGCATCGATTTCACGAGACAATTTTCAGAAGTTCACGAGTGTGTTCTGTAGAACGCAAGCACCAATGATTACGTAACGCTCGTTTTCATGTTCGCGACAGACGTCGTTTCTAGAATTCGACGAAATTTCGATCGATTCGGACCATCGAGACATCCTCGAAAATTCGACGAAATTTCATCTCGTTCCCGTGATTCTACCAGGAAACCGGGAAAATTCCGACAATCGACGTCCTCGGTCTCGTCTAGATGGAAAAACTCGAGCGGAATTTCGTTGGATTCCGATCGTTCTACTCTTGGCGTCGTTGGACACTCATAACTGTAATAATCAAAATCTACGTAGAATGGGAATTTAAAAGGCAATGTTCCAATCCAAAACTCTACATGGTATCGGCAAGAGTTCGTACAACCTATGAAACCCACTCCCGTGGAAATAAATAAATATTATTACTATTATTAAAATCACAATTTTTTTAATTCAAGATAGTGACCCATGACGTGAACGACGGCGACAGTGAGCCCTCCAAAGGACGCTAACAATAAAAAAAAGAAGATAAAATTCAGATCGACTACTCTATTGGAACAAAATTCGAAAACTCTATCGAACGTCTCAACCCCCATACGGATAAAAAAGGAATTCTCAAAATACGTTACAGCCCTGTCAGGTAAACCGTACCCATTTAACTCAACCTTCAGTTGTCTGAACACCAAACGGTACCATAAAACCACACCAGGACCAAACCGGAGAATCCTGGAATGGGGTAAAAGCAAAGAAGAGAGGAAAGAAAGAAACAAGCCGTCCCTCTCGATCGTCCTCGTTAATTTTTTTTTTGTCATCCCCTCTGTCGTGCCGAGGATCTGACTGGTCCGCAGTTTCTCCATTTATTACCGAGGCCTCTCATACCCCCTACCCACCCTCCGTTTCCAAGCGGCGGGTCGCCGCGTCGCGACGCACGAGGAGGGAAAAGCGGCGACGGGGGAGAAAAAAATGGCAAGACGAGCGGAGAGAGAGTCTGCGCGCGAACACCGTGGCGGGCCCTCCCAATCGAATTCCGCCCTTTCTCTCTCTCTCCCCCCCCTTATCCACGCTCGCCGCGGCTCAATTAACTATTTATACACAATATATTATATAATAAACTGTAATCGTGTACTCCTTCGCCCATTCTTCTTCTCTTTTTTTTTTAGGTTCTTTTAATTATCATTACGGTTTGGGGAGACGGGGCTGGGATAATAACGCTCTTCTTCACGCGCGCGTATTGTGTGTGTGTGTGTGTGTG